GACCCTCCGCCCGTACGAGCCGGTCGACCTCTGGATCAACTGGGCCGTCGCCTTCGCCGCGCAGGGGCTGCACCCGTGGATCGCCGCCTTCGACGCGCCGCCCGTCCCGCCGCCGCCCAACGGCCGCGACGCCGCGGGGTACGCGCGCCGCCAGGCGTACTTTGCGAAGGAGGTCCTCGCGGCCGCCGTCCTGCTCGCGCCCGATAGGCACTTTCTTCACGCCAAGCGCGGCGTCGCGTTCGGGGACGGGCACCCGCTTCGGTGGGGCTTGCGCGACGAGCCGACGCCGCACTCCGCGTTTGCAAGCACCGCTAGGATCGATAAGATGGATATGCTCAGGAGCGTCATGCTGTCCGGACGCAATTTGCCGTTTGACGCGCCGCAGCTGTGCCAGTGGGATGCCGCGGGCGCGAGGCTGGATGCTGTTAGTGCGAATTTGCGCGGGGAGGGGTACAGGTCGTATGAATATGATCTTAAGGAAGCCGTCGGGAACATGCCGTCCAAGTTTGGCAATGCCATTGACATGTTCACCATCGATATGCTCGAGTGGCTCACGATTATGCTCGGGCTTGGCCTGTGGGAGCACAGGCCGAAGAAGAAGAAGAAGAAGGAGGAGGAGGAGGGCCGCCGCATTAGGGTGTCGCCCTTGCGCGCCGTGGACGCTTGTTGGGCTTGGATGGGGAGGGTGGGCAGGCGGCCGCGGACGGTACCATTTGCGTCGGAGGACCTTCCGGATGAGTCGTCGGACTTGATTGAAGTGGAGAGTCTCAGCGAGAGCGACGACGACGACAACGGCGGCGACGAGGATTCATCGTGGAGTGATAGTGAATCTTCCGCGTCTGAGGGAGAGGGGCCCCTGATTTCCACGATGAAAAACAAAGGGGAAAAAGGGCTGGGCGAGGAATCTACCGCGGTCGCTGTGCTGAGAATGCAACTAGGCATCGCGGAGGGGGATTCGACGCCACTTGTGTATGAGAACGGGAAGGGGTTTGCTGCGTTACCGGTACCAATCAAGCAGGTCGGCGTGGGAGGCGTGCTCTGGAAGAACCGTGCAGTGCTGAAAATCAGTGCCCTGATTGACAACTGGGTTGCACTAAACTCTGGCGATGCCATTTCGCAAGTCATCAAACAAGATCCAGAGTGGCAAGAGGCATGCCTGACCTTGCCCAACAGCCGTAGCGACAGCGGCGATGAAGGCGGCACTGCCCTTGCACAAAGGCGAAGAGAGATCGAGGCTCAGCTCAAAGGGGAAAGCTACCTTGTTTACGCAAACGATATCCTGGAGCGCCTCAGCGTCAATGCGCAGCTTTCGACTAGACCTCCTCCAAATCTGAATCTCGCCCACACAATCTCATTTGTTGGCGTCGTCATGGAAAGCGTACGCAGCTCACTCGCAGCGCACCTTCCAAAACGGGGAGGTCGTTTTCATGAACCACCGGGCCAGTGGAAACAGTCCATTCAGTTTCTCGACAGCGATTATTTATTGACAGACGCATACGAAAGCGTTTTGAGTGAATCTCTGACATGCGCTCTTCGAAGCTTTGAGAAGAAGACTGAACAAGCCGTCGGAGACACCCACAAGTCAGTGCTATCTCGCCCAATTCAGTTGCGCCTGCTCTGGGAGCTACAAACCGAGTTTCAACGTCTTGCAAACGATGTACGAAAGCCACAACAAATATCTTCCATGATTGCATGCATACTTGCCTTCCCGTCGCTCACTTTCACGTCAAAACTTCTCAAAAGAATTTCAACGCGTACTTCCAGACTTAGCCGAAGCGCGACTAATGTAGAATTTCACTCCACACGAGAAGTGTTCATCAGGCCGGTTTGTGCTCCTCAAAATTTCTACCTCGTCGTCTCTGTGATCTGCGGAAGAAATACGCCTGCTTCCGTGTCTGTTCAGCTAGCTCGTGAGGACTGCACTAGCGACAACTACTTCGACTGGGAAGCCTGGCGAGATGCGTTCAATGGACGGTTGCGCGGATTGAAAGGATGGCAGAAGGCACAAGGGATGAGCGTTTTTGAGGAATGCACTACGTATGCAAGCATCAGAAGGAGCATTGAGAGGTGGAAACTTCCTGATCCCCGAACTGGTTCACAGCTTCGAATATGGGCTGGCTGGCTGCCGCATCGCCCCGTCATCGCCAAATACGAGCTTGGCACGGAAGGTCTCATCCGGCAATACGCCATATCCGGGAATGGCGCTGAAGAAGGGAAACCGATCGATTATGCCATCGCAAGTCGAGAAGATTTGCGCTACTCGCTCGGGGCTGTGGAAGAACGAATTTTTCAAGTACAAAGAATCGAACGTGAATCAAAAGGTGAAGATAAACCACATCCAAGACATACTTCTGTTGTTGCAAAACCTGCAGACCAGTTCCTCGAGCAGGGAAAGAAATTGTTGGACGGCAAAAAAGGCAATATTCCGCTTGCCCTTCAGTATTTTGAGCTCGCTGCTAGAAATGGAAACGTAGACGGTTTGCGATATGCAGTTGACCTTTTAATGGACAAGACGTCGGGCCACGTCAACCTAAACAAGGCCCTTTTTCTGACAAAGCGCTTTGATTGGATGCTAGGAACACGGGATTCCACTGTACAGGAGAGGGCGCAGGCAATCGAAGAGATCTATCAAAAACTACTGACCCGCACTCGAAATGCATGTAGTGTTGTCCTTGGTTTTGCTGCATTTGAGCTACAGCGCATAGAGAGGATGGAGTTCAACGGTGCCATGAGTACCGGTGACGTGATGAATATTCTTGCTCAAAGCTTTCGACAATCCGGTCATATCGAAACGCTGCGGTATATAGTTATCCTTTCCGTCCATTCGGCCTGGCTCAGGGCAAATATCAATCCTCTAGGTACCACGGAATTGTTGCCAGTGACCAGTTGGGGTTCGTGGCTGATATCCTCATCGAGCCAACGGGCCATGCTGGGCAACAGGCACTTCAGAAGGGCGAGAGGAGGCCGCAGTTTGCTCGAGATATTTTTTTATACTGCTGGAAAGAGCACAAGAGATTGGGAATGGCTTGACGCTGTCATTCAACGTGACGATATAATGCGATATATCCGTGAAGATGCCCTTGAAGAAATAATCCAGAAGAAAGACAAAGGAGCACCAGAACGGAACAAGAGCATTCTTCGACTACTTCGTCGGGCTCTAAAGGATTATCGTAGCTCTGCGAAGGCCAGTATTCTTTTGGGTGAGATATATGAGAACGGAGTTGTAGGGATAGACCCATCTTTGCAGTCAGCGATAGAGGTGTATGGAGAAGGAGCCCGACAAGCAAATCTTGAAGCGACCGAGAGGCTTGGCGCAATTTTAAAACGACTTCCGCAAGAAAATCAGAGTTGCCGATTCAAAATTCTAGAAGCACTACGTGAAAGCGAGAGCCCAAAAAATGCAAGAGCAAGCTTCGTTCTGGGAGATTGGTATGAGCATGGATTAGGTGGTGTCCAAACTGATCTCCATCAGGCCATACAGTTATACGGGAAGGCAGCCAAGTTACACGACAAGTTGGCGGCAGAGAGGCTCGGCGACATAGTACGTCAGGACTGGACCGAGACTGATGGAGCGCATCAAAGCGCTCTGAAGTTACTACAAGAAGCTGCTCGCGATAGAGACGAGAATTCTGCTTTAATTTTGGGCGGAATCTATGAAGCCGGGTTGAAAGGCTTGGTTCGAGATTGTGGCAGAGCGGTTGAGCTATATCATATCGGGCTTGATCAGGGGAATTACGAGTCATCGGAACGATTACGGATAATCGCCCAAAGCAAAGCCGTAGAGTGCATGGTGCTTAGACACCAAATCATCGAGAGGTTGTACGATTCTGTCCTAGAGGGGAATGCGCAGGCGGCCCGGGTACTGGGGAATTTGTGTGAGAACGGTTTGGATATTGTGGCATCCAATGAGACGGCATTGTCGCAACTTTGCGCGATGAAGTTTTACGATAGCTACGTGATTCGCCTCCTTGGCAGCGTGGCCATGCGAAAGGAAAGTAAGGCTTTACCCATCATGCAGGAAATTCTTCAAGCTCTGTTCGGAGCGGCGGAGTTGGGTATATCTGATGCGGCGGTCGCACTCGCTAACATTAAAGAGGAGGAAAAGAACATTGCTGACGCTGTTGAGGTGCTTGGGATCGCGGCAGTGTCCGAAGGTGATGTTACGTCAATTTCCCGGCTTGGGAAAATGGCCCTTGAGCACAATGGAAGTGTAAAGGCACGGGTGATGCAGATTCTGCATGAGGCATCTGATCTTGATCATATACACGCAATTGCAGTTCAAGCTCTCGTCTTGCAAAAGAGTGCCAAAGGAGACGTCAAGACTCGTTATATGTCAAAAGCAGTCGAGTTTTTCGCCAAGGCTGCTCATACCGGACACGATGGTGCGGTTGTATTGCTTCGCAACATTGCATTTAGTCACTGCGGAGACGAACATGGACGAATAGCATTGGAAAATCTGATCGATGTTGCATGGCGCGAAGGTTGCTCTGAAACCTGCGCAACTCAAGCTCTGGATGCTGTTGGGTATGTACTGGATACGTCACAATGCAGCAATTCGGAAAATGCAGCAGCTTCTCTCGATTTGTTCCAAGAAGTCTCGGGGAGGGTATACAGTCACCAATACTCAAGTTTTCATCAACTAGAAGTTGCTTTTAGTGCGGCAAGAGGACTGAAAGCTCTAACGACCAGCGGGCGCTCAACCAAAGATATAAAAGAACAAGCAAGATTGAGACTTCAAGAGTACGCTGAAGATGGTCGAGAAGGCCCAATGGAGTTCTTTGCTGGATGTCTTCTGAATGAAGTGCCCATGGACGAGGAGAATATGCCAGAAGTGGTCTCACATAGTTCGGAGACCAGGAACGTGGAGGCAAGGAACGTGGGGAAAAGGAACGTGAAGGCGCAGAAGGCGCTTCAGTTGTATGCAGATTTGATCAAAATGGAACGTGCCAAGACATCGCGTCGCGGTTTGGGGCACGATGAAAAGGCAACGCGTATTGGAGAAGCGGAAATCAAGGGAATGAGACGAGGGGTTGCACTACTGGAATCCCCTGGTTTAACGTCCGAGCAAGATGCAGGTCTGCGGGACCAATTGCTGAAGAGATGCAACATACTGGAAACTAAAGTGAAAGGCCATCGAGCGCACTTGAGAAACTTAGCAAACATATTGGAATGGCACTGACGTCTTGGACGACTTTTCGTTTAATCAGTGTTATTTATTTATATTGTAAAGTATACTGTACATTCGCGTCATCATACTCGTACGAGCCGTACTTGCGCGGCATCGACAAGAGTACAAGATGTACCTCAACGCGATCATAGCAGTCGATTCCCAGGAGCTGTTCGGTCCACTTTCGAGGAGCAAATACTGATAGCTTGAATTCTTGACAAGCCTGTTCAGCATCTCTTCCACTGACAGCATGTTACCACTGGTAGATTTGAGGTCGTCAAAGAACGCTTGGAGCCATCAAAGGCAACCATTCGCTGCTATCGGTATTGTAGGTTCATCAAGCGCATGTTGCGTAAGAACGGCAGCCGGCATGCTCTCTCTTCTTTCAATAGCACAGATGAGTGGTTCTTATGGCACGGGTCTGCGCGTTTGAACCAAATGTCGGCCAACAAACAGCGAGAGATAGTCTGACCCTGAGAATTGCAAGCGAATTGCAGGCGAGGCAAAACTTGGCCTGCCGCATTGCGCCGGATCCAATTGTGTCATTATCGCGATATCCGTCTACCTGATGGACTCTAAACTTGGACCCTATGCTTCTGCAAGCGCAGTTGCAGTGGACTTGGTGTGCGCAACAGTCTGCGAAGCTCGTTGAAAAGAAGCGCTTGAACCGAGACATGTACAGCCGAAAAGAAGCCAAAGGCGGCAACGAAGAGTACCGGGACGAAGGGCATAGTTGCTGAGGGTGCAAGGGATGGATAGGTTGCAGCTCGTTACAGAAAACGTGGGAGAGGAAGCGTGGGCAAGGGAAGAGGGACCATCTGATGATTCGCGTGGTTGCTTATACAGTAATTACGAGAAGGTGAGGGGGGTGACGGCGCAGCGCTGGTTGGCACGGGAAATGCAACTGCAGAACTGCCTTCATGGTACGGCAGGCGTGAGATTTTTTATGACGTGACTACCCTTAGGGTACGTCCCATGGCCGGTCGCATGATCAATATGGGCGAATGAGGAGGTGACACCCACGCGCCAGCAATGTATTTGTCGATTCACAGCAAGGAAAGTTTGGGCGTATGCGTCGTCATCTTCTATAGGAAATCGACATAAACTTTAGAGGTGACGCGGGTGGAGTGAGATGAAGGAGTGCCAACGGGGCCAGGTGGTCCTTGTGGCGCGGGTGGAGTGAGATGAAGGAGTGCCAACGGGGCCAGGTGGTCCTTGCCGCCAGGCGTGGAAGTTGTTGGCAAGCCGAGAAGCCTCTCGCACGCCTCAGGTCCTTGCAGGCATAACTTTGAGCTTGAACGGGCGTTTCGGTACGGCGAATCAGATTCGCTGTTACCGTTGCAACTGGCGAGACTGTATCCACTGGCGTAACCCTATCCACTGGCCGTGCTGCAGCAACCGGCGGAAGTGCACGAAAGCTTCCAGAAGACTGCAACTGGTTCCAGTCAAGACTGGAACCAGTCCAACTTGTTTGGTGGCCGCTGTGGCCAACCTGTTGATGTACTGTACTGCAGTTGACTGGTAGCGTTACAGTACAGTATCTTCAAATATGTGATGGCACCCAAAAGCCACGCCAAATAGCGTAGCTTTTAGCGTCAGAATTGGATAAAAGCGTGCCGTCCCTCGCCGGCCTTCGCGGCGAGGGAGAGGGACGAGACTTTCGTCATCACAAAATACTACTGCAGGGGTTACACGTTATAAGGCGACTACTGATAAGGCCGCAACCGGGTGGGTACAAGGCGACCTTACCTCGCATGTCGCATCTATTGCCACGTGTGTACGCCAGTGATGGCACCGCCGAGGCAGGTGGAAGCGGCAGACCACTCTGTGAAAGTGAGTGTGCAAATTGGAGTGATGCATGCCGCGCCAAGAAACGACACCATATCTCCACCCACTTCAGGAAAGCACATGTGGACGCCCTCAAAAGAAGCTGTAATTGACGCAAGTACCCGGCGCAAGTGCTCTCAGTCAGTCACATCAGCTTCTTGCATCTGACATGCTCAAATAATTAGTCTTCAAATCGACAAGCTTGTGCCTTCGAGAAGATATTGGGAATTGGGGCGTATGTATTCGGGGCGAGAAACATCGAGGGGCTAGAAATGCCCCAGCACGAAGGGCTGGACGCGGAACGAGCTGTCGAAGTATTGCGCGCCGAGGAAGAGAACAAGGCGGTGGTGAAGCTATCCATGGGCTGTTTTCAGGGATGGTGGCGAGGATCGTGGTCAAGAGTTGTGGCAAACGTTGCCCAGGGATTGAGGTGAGACTACACACTGTAGAAGGTGAGTGCTCGATACACGGCGAGTCAATGCGCTTCTCACAGAGTCGCCTTATATCGTGACATCCCGCCCTGTAGACTGTATCATTGTGGCGTAGTCTGCGCTCCGTATACCGGATTTCCGAGTGGCTCCATCGTTTTGCGAACGTACAGTAGGCCCTACTGCGGCTGTATCTGGGGATGTGCAGATACAGTACCCTACTGAGCAGGGTATGGAGATGTGCAGATACAGCCGCAAAAGGCTAATGCACTTCGCAGCGTGCGGAAAGCAATCCGGAGGATTACGGTAAGTCTTGGACTAGACAGATTCCAGTTCAGGTCATGGCACTGGAACAACCTACAGTATCAATATTTAATCAGTAGCGTTTAGGCCCGTGTATTGCTTGCAAATTGTTCACACACATGAATTGACAGGGCCTACAGCCAGTTGGACGTTGGGCCATCATGCTGTTTTGCCATCTGTCACTTCAGACTCTATCCGGATTGAAGGCGTCATAGAGATGGGAATGTATCTGAAGATCAAGCGCAGTCCATACATGTGCGCAGAATTCGCTCTTGCAGTTGATGAGAGAAAGGGATTAACGACGTGGGAAGGCATCGGGTGGACACGCTAAGCATCCTATTCACAGACGCCTGTTGCGCGAACGTCTACGAAGGGGCCACATTCATTTGTAGTTAAAGAGCACTTCCAGCCAAACCGCTATCGCGCAAGGGAAACGTACAGTCAGTACAGCATTGGCAACCATCTACATTCGGCAACGATTTACTCTCCCTTTTGCATATCTTGGGTGGTAATAACGTAAAGATAAGACCATCTTTGTGACCGGGTCCTCGTTGTTTCACTGATTGAGGGCGCGCAAGCATCGTCGCGAAGTAATGTGTATAAGTTAACGCTGCTGAAGGTGTTTGCAGCAGACGCATTAAGTCTCCCCGCGAAATGTCTGCGGTAAAATTGTTAACTTGCACGGTGAGCTACCCGAAGGGTAGCAACCTGAAAACACGTAACAAGAACAACAAGAGCAGCAGTCAGGGGTGGAAAACTGTGCACCGTGTTGAAGTTCTGTAACAATTCTCCCGTATGGAGGTCAAATTCCAAAATTTACCTGAGACTTCTTACGTGGCTCCAGGGGCGATTTTGGTCGACGCCAGCCCATTGAGATTGGGCACGTCCATTCCATCACATGACTGATTTGAAAGTTTTAAGTTATCAGTGTGCCTGGTGACTTCCACGTCGGGACAAGGTAATGGTTTCGACTGTGATCTTCAACCTCACCTGAGAAAACCGTATTCCTTCTTGTCGCTATTTCAAGCTTTGCCGTGTTCCTGCGCATCATAACGCTGTCCACCAGCCGCCGCACAGCACGTAGATTGTATCGCTGCTCGCATGTCGTGCTGAGTCATGCTGTCCAGTATCTTTTCTGCTCAACCGATGACCCAAATGTCTCCCCCAGTTCAGCTAGGTATGTATCAGACAACAAGTTGCAAACACTATCGATTGAGGCAATGAATGTTCTTGTTCTATGAAGGTGCCTCAAAATGTCTGAGCGGACGCGCAGTTCCACGTTTCATTTACATAAAACAAGTACAGTAGAGAACCATGCAAAAAAAATCTGTGCGATTGACAAGCGATGACATATTTTTAGCAGATTCTACAATCAGACAAAATAGAGAACAATCTTGTGGTCACACTCGTGTTGCTGTTTAGCTGCTAGAAAGAGAACAAACTCCCCCAATTTCCGTCTACAACACTCTCGAATCCCCATATCTGTGCAGTATGATTAGGCTGTTACTCGTATACTTCCCGAGCAAGGATAGATCAAGAAACAATTCCTTTGTGGAACAGTTGTAATATATTTATACTCATGCCGCTTGAGGAACAGTCTCAAGCAAGCGACATTGGGCTAGCCGTCATCATGGGTGGGGGTCCATGGGAGAAGAACACTAAGGTAGGTTCGCGCGAACAAACCAATTAGAAGAACGCAGTTTTGAATTGGGATGCAGATTCAGTTGCGCTGAGTTCAGCCCCAGAAATCATAGGTGCAACTGATAACTATGATTTCTCGATAACGGCATATGCCACATGGGCATATTCATGCTTATGGGATGTGTATGTCGACATTTAACACGGGAAATGCCAAAGAGGTGATTTCTCTTCGGCTTCCATCCCTACTGAATATGCGAATACTGTAGGTGCAACAAGTGGACATCATGAGGAGAAGGGGCTTTGCGATTTGGGCCTTCTACTTCGGGCCTCAAAGCAAAAACAGCTCTGTATCTACATATTCTATGCAGTGTGGTGTTCGTCTTTTACAGGGTCTGTACAAGTACTACAGACCAGGGTACGTCGAAAACCTGGAAAACATAGAGTAGGGAACAATAAAACATGTGTTGCATGAGCAAGCCCTTGTATAGCATTGTCTGCATGCAGCTGCAACTCCCCCGAATTCGAAGCACGACCCTGCTACAGTACTGACCGCTGTACTGCTCCGGTTTCAGGCAGTATTAAGCCAGTGACCTAGGTGACTTACCGTGCAGAGTAAAACAGGCATGCACAAGAAGGTTCACTTCAATAAAGCTAAGAGAAAGAGAATACTTTACTCTAACATGAAGTGTATCTCGCCCATTAACTCATTCTTGTTACAGAAAACTCAGGCACCAGCCGCATGCTTACATCGCAAAACTGCTGTAGCACTTTTTTGCACGCACATTTGGCCTTTTTTGTCATAGGCCATATGGAAAGAAGTTTCATTTGGGCAAGTGGCTTGTGGTGGCGCTTGATGAAATTTCATTCCTTGTTAATCACTGTTAGCTCAGATGATGAACTGCGAGTTAGGAACGGCCCTTACATTGAGGGTCTTGTTGTGAGCCTGCCGCAATCTGACGAAATGAT